TGTAGTCAAGCACAAATATTTGTCAGATTCTTTCAGAGAGGCAGTGGGGCAAAGTGTATTTCAATCACATTATGGAATGAGATTCTTCCTATTTGTTGTTACAAAGAAAAAATGCTGCAAAAAAGTGAATTGTTTTGAAATAGTCCTTTCTAGGGGGCTGGGGTCGAATGTGACAGGACCAGTCAGGCCAGTTTGTGACTTGAGTTTTCACTGCACAAGGGGCTGGGACTCCCACTTGGGCTGACATTCCTGCGGGGGTTGGGAATCTGTCTGTATCTCCCCCAGCCATCTGCTTGTGTATTTCTGCCTGCTCAGTTGCCCATAGAGACAAGCAGTCAAGTACTTGTAGCTGGCTTGAGTTCTGGGGGCTGTATTTGGAACGGGAGCCCCCTGAAGTTGGCAGTGGCTGGAAAGGGATCTAGTCATTTCTGCCTACTGCAGAATCCTCCTTGCATTTGCTCAGGTCTCTTGGAATCTGACTGTTTAACATCCCCTCCTGCCCCTCACTTGCTGGCTAGCACTGTAGTTCTAATGCAGAGTATGTGCGCCAAAGATGCAGTGCAGACATCTCCTAGGATCTGAGGCAGCTGCTGGAGACAGGTCGCAGTTTTGGGTTTTTAATGGCATCCTCTCAAAATGCACAAGTCCTCTGCAAAGCTTGGGCTGGATTCTGCTCTTACTCTGGTCTATGTATCATAGACAGGTCTATGATACATTACATATCGGGGTTCCATTTCCAGCTCTGCTAGAAAGGATCATGTACTACCTCCATTACTCTTACTTGTAAAATTGGGTGGCTGATACCTTAATACATAACCTTAATACATAACCTTATTTCTGTGGCTAACACGCAGTCAACCTATATTTCTTTACAGTGGACTGCACTTCCACTTGCATCCTCCAGACTGGAACATGCAGTCTCCTCAAAGGACATCACTAATGGTATACCTCTACCTCGATATAACGCGACCCGATATAACATGAATTTGGATATAACACGGTAAAGCAGCGCTCAAGGGGGGGGGGGGGCTGCGCACTCTGGCGGATCAAAACAAGTTCGATAGAACGCAGTTTCACCTACAACATGGTAAGATTTTTTGGCTCCCAAGGACAGCGTTATATCGGGGTAGAGGTGTATTTCAAATATCAGCCAGTAAATAGCCTTTAGTGTTATGGAAATTTACCAGCCCAGATAACAAAATCTTCTCACCTACTCTGACAATAACAATATTGAAAATCCTAATATTATTGTACTTTTCATCAAGTAAGTGGGCAAACCGGATATGGCATGGACTGAAGAATGCTCCAGAACAATGCTTTTCAGATTCTTCCCAATAAAAGCTAAAGCACTACACTACAAGTACAACCATATCTAATAACCAGCGTATGATTTATCTAAGTTACAAGAAACATGGTTGAGTTGTGTCCACATAGAAGGCTTCCCCCCCGCCCCATACACACACAATAACCAAGTGCCAGTCAGGTTTCTGCATTCATATATAAAATCATAATTAGGAGGCATAATATTGGCAAATTCTGGGAAACTTGGATAAGTAATCCCATAGATCCTCAGCAAGGACAGAGTGCACAGAGGTTATTATATCTTAGGTAGCTAAATATTTACCGATTTTTTTAATTTCAGAACTATTGATAAAAATATCTGTCAACATTTCAGTACCTCTATTTAGTGAGTGGGGCTAATCTCTCCTTTAGTAGGAATGCCATTTTACTCATTGTTCCTGGTATGGTCCTCAGGATTTCTGATCTGATTATATGATGTGAGACTGAAACTCCTTTTCCCAATAGAAAGCACTGAACATGTTATTGTGCCTTCTATTTTTAAAATAACCTCAAATACGTCTAAAGCCCAAAATCATTCTGGTATACTGAACTGCAACTTCTCATCTAATTTGCCATCCAATACAAATCAGGTGACTATCATACAAGAAGTCATTTGTACATATTCTGTACCTCACTCTCATAGACATTATTAAAAGTATGTACTTTCACACAAATATGCATGCAAACATTTCAACTTGCATCTCTGCCTGTGACTGATTAGATACGCTTTTAAAATACCCCAGCTTAGTCCAAGAGGAGTTTGATATTTCTAGTAGTGTTTCCTTCCAACTGGAGTCTCAAACTGTTTTTCTAAAAAAACAATTTTATACTTTGCTAACTGTGGCATCAATGATGTTGTATGTCAAAAGTTTCTACTGGTTCTGCAAAAATATATAGAAGTAAATTTGCTACCTAAAGTATTACTAATGTCACTCTTACTGGTACCTGAAACACACACACACAAAAAACCTCTAGAAGTATTCAGTTTAAAAATAAGAAAAAAATTGTATTGTTTTTGCCTGATCTAATTCATGCAACTCAGCAAAGAAGGAAACTAGATATAGGTAAGAAATAGTAAGTGACAGGATCTTCACATCCATCCTGATTCTGACAAAACTCCAGGTAACACAGAGGGACAAGACTTCTGTTTTGAGATGCTCTTAAAGGAGGTTTATATCAATCATAGAAATGTAAGGTTGAAAGAACCTCAGTCTAGTCCATCCTCCAACACTAAGATGGAACTAAGTATACCTAGACCATTCCTGTCATGTTTGTCTAACCAGTTCTTAAAATCTCCAACAACAGGGGCTTCACAACCTCTTTTGGTAACCCATTCCAGGTCTTAACTATCTTTATAGTTAGCATGTTTTTCCTAATATCTAACCTGAATCTTTCTTAGCGCAAACTATGTAGATGACATTTTGTCCTACCCTCGGTAGACATGAAGAACAATTAATGGCTGTTCTCTTTCTGACAACCTTTTACATATTTGAAGACTTATGTCCCCCATGAGCCTTCTTTTTCTAAACATGTCCAGTTCTTTCAACCTTTTATCATAGGTCATGTTTTCTAAACCTCTTATTTTTGTTGCTCTCCTCCGGACTCTCACCAGTTTGTTCACATCTTTTTAAAGTGTGGGGGCCAAAACTTGACACAAAGTCATCCACAAATTTCATTAACATACTCTCCATTCCACTATCCAAGTCATTAATGAAAATATTGAATAGTACTGGACCAAGGAGAGATCCCTGTGGGACCTCATTTGATACCTCGTCCCAGTTTGACAACCACCATCGATAACTACTGTTTCAGTAGTCTTTCAACCAGTTGTGCACTTAACTTACAGCAATTTCATGTAGACTATATTTTCCCAGTTTGCTTATGATAATGTCATGTGGGACTGTGTCAAGTGAACAAGAGAAACCAAAAATCAGCTCTTAAGTAGAACCAGGGAAGCGGAGGTGATACACAAGTCAGGAAGAAGAGGTAGAAGAGCAAAGGAGAGGATAGACGAGGGTAAGGAAACAAAGCAGTAGTCTGAAGACCAGGACTGGTGGTAACACCCAGAAGACGAAATCAGATTACCTATAAAATCTTGATGGCAGGAATGGTCTCTTAGTATATGTTTGTACAGCACCTAGCACAGTGAAGCCCCAACCCTGATTGGAGCCTTTGGGTATTACTGTAATACAAATAATAAATTGTAACGATAAGAGGACATTGTGAATGAGAAGATGCCAGAGGGAGGTAGGAGACAATACTGGGAGAGGGCAGCTGATGAGGAAACTGACAATAGCATCTAGCATATTAGAAGGGAAAAGTGCCCAAAGGATGCCTGGGATAACAAAAAACAATTTCCCTCAGTTTGGTAAGCAGAATGAAGGAGAAGCCCTCCAATCTGCAAGTATACATTTAGTGTAAATTTCAGCTTGAATTTTCAATCCAATATAGGTATGCACAATGGAGGATGAGAGGAATACTTCCTACTGAGTTCAAAAGTCAGAAGTCAATGCATTTTTTTTAACTCATGATTTCTTGATCTGTTTTAGATTTTTAAACTTGCAAGTATTAAACTTTAATACTTGCTCCTCTGACTTTTTCACCTCCCTCCACGATTAATAAATAGATTTTATTCCCTCCTTGTTTCTTCAATCTATGCTTTGTAAAGTTATTTAATGCACATAATGCAAAGCAATAAGTGAAGCAATAAGACAGACATAATTCTATAAATTGAAAAGATACGGAAACAAATTATTAAACAGTAAATCTGTAAGCACCTCGAGGTTAATATGGTATTACGGAAGAGTCAACATAGATTCGTCAAGAACAAATCATGCCAACCCAACCTAATTTCCTTCTTTAGAGGATTACTGGATAGAAGGGAAGCAGTCGACATGATATGCCTTGATTTTAATAAGGCTTTTTAGTCTCACATGGCATTCTCATAAGCAAACTACAGAAATGTGATCTAGACGCAATTACTATGAAGTGGGTGCATAACTGGCTAAAAAATCATAGCAAAAAAGTAGTTTACATGGCTTGCTGTCAAAACGAGAGGCTCTAGTAAGGTTTCACAGGGGTCTGTCCAGGGTCCAGTACTATTAAATATTTTCATTAATTACTTGGAAACTGGGAGGGAAAATGTTCTTATAAAAATTGCCAATGACACAAAGCTGGGAGGGATTGCAATCAGTTTGGAGGACAAGATCAGAATTCAAAATGATCTGGATAATTTAGAGAACTGGTCTGAAAACAACAAGATGAAATTCAATAAAGACAAGTGCAAAGTATTACTCTTATGAAGGGGAAAATCAAATAATGCACAAATACAAAATGGGAAATAACTAGTTAGGAACTAGTACTGCAGAAAAGGATCTGGGGATTATAGTAATCACCCATATGAAATAACCCTTTCTTATAATGACTGTCATGGTTTATGCTGTAGCAGATTACAGTATCATTTGGAGATGAGGGCTAACATATACCCATAATGAGCATTTGATCCAAAGGCTTGCAAAAGCAATGTGGCTGTCAGTCTCTTAATTTTCAGAGAAGCCAAGATACCATCCAATACATACCATGGAAAAGGTGGGATTATTACATACCACATATACTAAGGTTATTTTCTAATAAGATTAGAAGAGGGAAAAGTAACTCACCACTACTGTGACAGTCCTTTCTCCAGTTCTGGTGAAAAATGGTGTTGTGAATGGGTCCCAAATCCTGCTTTTTCAAAGACCTCTAAGAAGAGATGGCAATTCTCTAACTGGAAGGCTGATTCTGGAGGAAGAGGGAAATAACCTAAAGTGAGAAAAGCACAGCATGTGAAGAAATATGGAGCTAATACCTCAGTCCTTCCAGTTTCCCTAACAAGAAGCCAGAAGAAAACTATGGGGTTGGAGAAATGGATAATAGCCCACTTTCTCCTCCACATCAAAAGGAAGTACTTTGATATGTCTGTACAATACAAGACTTGCTAAGGCTATGGCTACACTACGAGCTTTTAGAGACACGGCCATGCCGCTACAGCCGTGCCACTAAAAGGCACACAGTGTAGCTGCTATTTGTCGACAGGAGAGAGCTCGCCTGCCAACAAAAAACTCACACACACACACACCCCCAGGAGCAGCAGTGGCTGTGTTGACAGTTGTTCACACCAGCGCTTTTTGTCAGTAAAACTTTTGTCATTCGGGGGAGGGGAGGGAAGGTGTTTTTAACATTCCTGAAAGACAAAAGTTTTGTGGGCGAAGTGCCAGTGTAGACAAAGACTAAGAATAATCCTGAACGGTCTTCTCTGCACTTAGAACAGCAAATGCCATACTATATCAGAGTGATCCCATATCTTGTCTCTGACCCTGAACAGTACCAACTACTTCAGAGGAAGGTGCAAAAAACCATGTAATGGAAAATTATGGAATAACCTGCACAAAGGGGAAGTTTCTTTCACTTTTCTCCTTGCTTCTCCCCATCAACCTATGTTACAAACAATTCTTATTTTTTCTTCCACAACATAGAGAACAAATCTGATCCTCTCTGTTTTAAGAGCCGAAACCTTCCTCCACGTCCTGATTAGCCCCCATTTTGATTGTTGTCACCTTTCCTCTGCCCTATGCAGCACTCACATCTCCTCTCCATGCAAAACACTGCAACTGAAGGCACGTTCTTGGTCTGACATGAGCATCTCACACATGCCCTTGGAATCCTTGCACTGGCTCCCCACTAATCACCACATCCATTTTTGTAAAGGTTGTGCTCCCTTTAAGGGCCCCACAATAAACACATCCAAGTCTCGGACCTCACCTCCTCTAACATCCTCCTCTGTTCCGCTAATTATCCCTGCCGAGGTGCAAGTCTGATCCTTTATCCTACCTGCTTCCACGGGGGATAAACTCGCTGTACTGCTGGGCAGGAGGACGAGGTAACTAACGGGCGATCCCCTCGATGTGGACTTTAGCGATCTCTCGGGACTTTTCACATGATGCACATTGGGGTCCCTGGTCCAAGTGTCCCGAGGCCGCCTCTCCCGCACGGCGCGGTGCTGGGGCCCTACCGGCCCGGCTGCCCGCAGTCCGGCTGCACGGGCGGCGGCTGGGGCGTTCGCTCACACTCGGGGCCGCTCCCCCGCTCTGGGCGCTGGCACAGGTGAGTCCCGCTGCCCCCGCCACACACAGTCCCCAGCCCGGCCAGACTCCGCCAGCCCCCGGGGCCCGACCAGCCACCCCTCAGCGCCCGGGGCCCGTGCTCACCGTTGGGTCAGAGCCGCTGCACGTGACGCGACCCCCACCTCTTCCGAAGCTCGCGCCACTAGCCGGGACCATTCGGCTCCAGCTAGAGCAGACACGCGCCCCACCCCCCCGGCGCGTACTACTTACGTCATCCAAACGCGACAATACTATCCCGGCTTCCTCCTTCTGTGTTGTGGGGTGTGCGTGCGACTAGTGTGCGCGTCTCCGGGGCTCGCCGGCCGCTGCCATGCCGAAAGTCAAGGCGGAGAAGCGGTGCCGGCAGCAGCGCCGTGAGGGGCAGGGCCAGGGCCCAGGTGAGTGCGCGGGCCCGGCGGGGAGAGGCCGGGCTCCCTAGGCCCGTTCGGGCGGAGAGGGAGCTGGCCCAGGGCTGGCGTGTGCTGCTGCTCTCTGGCCCACAGGCAGCGCTGGGTGCCGCTTGGGGAAATGGGAGCCCCGACGGGTGGGCGCAAAGGAGTCTAGGCTCCGAGTGCCGCGGGCGGAGACGGTGTGGCGCCGTCACTCGCTCCTTGTGACGCGCTCAGCAACCCCGCCGCTATCGGAGTCGCCGCTAGGGAGCGTCCTGGCGGCCCCCAGGAGCGCTGGAGAGCCGGTCTCTTGGAGGCGCTGCCGTAGCCTTCCCGGCTCGGCTGCGGCCTGCGGGATGGAGCTGTGCGCGGGGAGGCAAAACTCGGCAGGAGCCTCGAGCGGTCTGGCGGCTGCAGTCTGCTCTCCTCGGTGGCCCTAGTGAAAGCTGATGAAGCCGCGGGCTCTGCTACGGAACCCTGGCCGGCTAGTGTTGGCTCTCCTTGTTTTAAGCTTTCTTTAGAATATGCTTCTTCTGCAAGCCCTTTGAATGATGGCCTCCACTCCAGGTACTGAGCTTCGGTACGGGTATTGCATGTGTTAGGACTGCGATGTTTGCGTTTAATTTACGCCAAGTTTCCTAGTTTGACAGCTCCTGGCTTGTGCTTGTACACTGGCGAGCATGCTGTTGTCATTCCCATTTTATTACTGATATACAGCTGTGTAAAAAGACAAGATCCATATCCTAAAAGAGCTCTATCTAAATGCAATAGTGGAAAAAAGTAGTTGTGGTTTTAGAATCCTAGCAGTAGTATTGCTTTAACCTGAGTACAGTGTCACCAATAACTTTTTCTTTATCTGAAGAAGTAAGGTTCTTACCCACGAAAGCTTATGCTCCCAGCACTTCTGTTAGTCTCAAAGGTGCCACAGGACCCTCTGTTGCGTTTTTCTTTATTGTTGTTCCCTGTATCACTAATAATGGTATTTCCAGCTGCAGTGGTTGATATTGTGGGCTCCCCTGCTTCTGGAATGTCACTACTCCTAAGTGCCAGCCTTTACAATCACAAGGGCATTGTATACTCCAAGGGGATCAGTGTACTACACACAGATCAATGGAAAGAGAGAGGCAGTGGTTGTTATAGTTAATGTCTTAGACTATGATACCTGGAATTTGCCACTGTCAGGAGACAGAATACTGGGCTTGATGAACCGTGGGCTTGACCCAGTATGGCCGTTCTTATGTTTACACTACAGAGGCACAATTGCGGCATTGCAGCTGTAGCACGCCTACATGGTGGGAAGGGGTTTTTCAGTCAGTGTGGGTAATCCACCTCTTTGAGAGATAGCAACTTTCTGTCATCCTAGCTGCATCTATAGTGGGGGTTAGGTCAACCTAACTGTGTCACACAGGGCATGAGCTATTTCAGAGCCCTGAGCCATGTAGCTAGGTGGACCTAAGTTTTAGGTGTAGACCAGGTGTTAGACTGCTAAAGTGGTCTAGTTCCAATAAAAGAATGTGACTCACTGCTTTAGAAGTATAAAATCTAGTTTGCTGTGATATTTTTAATGATAGTGATATAACTGGCTTGGTTATACTTTATTTTAGGTATCATGTTCAATACTGGAATTGGCCAGCACATCCTGAAAAATCCCCTCATTGTTAACAACATTATAGAGAAGGTTGGTAATAACTGGACCTAACTAATTAAAATAGCTGTCATAAGAGTTGCATTCAAATGTTCTATCTCAAAATCTTTTAAGGCAAATGCTTGTAAACAATTTACAGCACTACTTAAAGTTGGATACTGTGTAAGTCTGAGGTGCTTAATCCCTTCCTGGCCTCTTGAAAGGTATGAGGAATGTTAATTCAAGATAAGCAACAGAGGGTCCTGTGGCACCTTTAAGACTAACAGAAGTATTGGGAGCGTAAGCTTTTCATGGGTAAGAACCTCACTTCTTCAGATGCAAGTCACCCACGAAAAGCTTACGCTCCCAATACTTCTGTTAGTCTTAAAGGTGCCATAGGACCCTCTGTTGCTTTTTACAGATTCAGACTAACACGGCTACCCCTCTGATCATTAATTCAAGATGTACAGTTGGTGAAAGATTTTCTAAGTGCTTTCTCTCTTCCTTCAGAATGGCCATGGGTAAAATCCTGGCCCCATTGAAGTCAGTGGCAAAGCTCCCGTTGTCTTAAATGGAGCCAAAGTTACACATAGGGTTTTGTGTGCACACAGAGATGTGATTACCTAATGGCTACATTTTCAAAAGGTTGCATGCAATTAAAAGTGAAACTGTTGGGCAACTTTGCTTTTGCCTTGAAAACAAGTTCTCCAAATCTATTAACCATATACAGGATCAGCTCCATTAATGTCTGCACATAGAATTCTTTAGTTAAAATTACTTTGCAATATTGTTTTTTATTATTATTATTATTATTATTGGTTTCCTACAATCACATTTGTTCTTAGGCTGCCTTACGGCCCACGGATGTTGTCCTTGAAGTAGGACCTGGAACTGGTAACCTGACAGTAAAAATGCTAGAGAAAGTAAAAAAGGTAAGAATGAGTTAGGAAAATTCATCTTGATTTTTCATTGAACAAACTGCTACTTAGTAGATGAACAAATGAAAAAGTGTCCTTAAACGGGGGGTGGGGAAATAATGTATCTATTCCTTTCTGGGTGTTCGTATCCTTCTCTCTGTACAACTCCACTGATAGAGTAAGAATGGTGCTTTTAAAGTGAAGCTAAGAATATTTGACAATCGGATACTCAATGTAATTTTAATCTATCTACTGCATTAACACTTGTGTTGGATCTTTACCATTTTTACAAGGCATTCAACCACAATTAGGTAAAGAATTGTGCTTTACATGTGTGGTTTTCTTCAATGGCCTTGTTATCCTTCTGAAATTTTAATATAGTCTGATACTTTTGTGATAGAAAAGGTGCATATCCTAATGTAAGATTTTTAAAAATGTCTGTAACAAAAGCTATTCTTATTCTGAGATAATAGCAAGAAGTCTATTCATAGTTCTGACTTGGTTAAAGTTGCAAATATAACTCTTTGTTTTCAGGTAGTTGCTTGTGAACTTGACCCACGACTTGTGGGTGAACTTCAGAAGAGAGTCCAGGGCACGTAAGTACTACCACTGGAAATAGCTCCACTGCATTTTAGGGGCCTGACCTCTTTAGAAATGTGTATTTCTAAGGTAATAACTGTGTTTTTTTCCATCCCTAGATGCCTAGCAAACAAACTAGAAATAAAGGTTGGAGATGTCTTGAAAACTGACTTACCGTTCTTTGATACATGTGTAGCTAACTTGCCTTATCAGGTAGGGGCAAAGCAATTGCAGTGGAATAACAGTTTACATGAATTTTTGATGGTACTGGCTTAGAGAGGACATACTAACAGTGTTACTCTTTCCCTAGATTTCTTCACCTTTTGTTTTCAAGCTGTTGCTGCACAGACCTTTTTTCAGGTATATAGACAAGACTCTCTGGATTGCCTAATGCAAAACAAAGACTAATTTTACAGAACATCTGATTTGGGATTATTGTTAACGATATTAGCCCTGCAAACCACTAGTCAGGAACTCTCCTCAGCATAATACTCCCAATGGCCATTGCCAGTGCCAAAGTGTTAAACACCTAGGAAGAATTTAAGACTTGGCATAACCAAGTGCAGCTCCCACTAAAGTAAATGGGAGTTTGCTCCTGCTTACTCTAGAAAGGACAACCCCAGGCCTAAGCAGAGTATCTTAAAAGTTATGGAGAAGTAGAGCAGATTTGGACTGGAGGGTGGTGGGGTGTCTCCAGGGAGATCAAAGTAACTGTATGTTTAATACACCTCTAGCTCGATATAACGCTGTCCTTGGGAGCCAGAAAATCTTACCGCATAATAGGTGAAACCGTGTTACATTGAACTTGCTTTGATCCACCGGAGTGCGAACCCCCCCCCTCCTTCCCCCCCCTCCTCCCCCGGAGCACTGTTTTACCGCGTTATATCCAAATTTGTGTTATATCAGGTGGCGTTATATCGAGATAGCAGTGTATATGGTTGCGTAGCTTGCTTAAGTGCTCTTGCTGATAGTTTAACTTGAACTGGAGTACTGCTATTGCTGATGCCATTGACAGGAAATGAAGGTCTAGTGGGGGTATCTACTTTTACTATTTATTTTTCTAAAATTAGATCAGTTTTGAAATGCAAATAGCTTACTTTTATTCTAATTTGGCAGTTCTGCAGATTCAGACTCGTTGCTGCAGTACTAATTAGTGACATTCGGTACCAGTATGCCTATTAGCAGTCAGCAAACTTGTCATGCACAATGCAAGGTTAGTGATCAGCACTTTTTTAACTTAGTGAAATACCAAAAAACAATTAAAATCAGTGGAGGCTGTTAATTTACTATTTTAACAATTTTACTCAGGAAAGTTCAGAGGTCCAGAATGAGAGGTATAATCTGGCTTTCAGAGGTCCAGAATGAGAGGTATAAGCAGGTGGAATTATTTCACATAGGTCGTACACATAAGACTGAGACTACATTCTCTTAATTTCCTTCTAACCACTAGGTACAAATAGCCAAGTTCAGACCAAGGGTAAGCAGGTGCTATAGTGGGTTTGCTATAGTTGTGCTTGACTTGCATCAGGGCTGAGTTTCTCTAATATGAGTTTGACACATCTCTGTTTGCCTTTAAAATAAAAAGCCAATAATCTACAAGTAATAGATCATCTATGAATAAATTATTTGCAATATAGCACTCATGTTTTCATTTCTTTAATTCTCAGGTGTGCAATACTTATGTTTCAGAGAGAATTTGCTCTTCGTTTGGTTGCAAAACCAGGGAATAAACTATACTGCAGACTCTCAATTAACACTCAGTTATTAGCCCGTGTGGATCATCTAATGAAAGTAAGTGAAACTACATCAATAACTAATGTAGGAATGTATGTCAGAGTGAGGATGCTTTCTCAAGAATGTGGATATTTGCTTCCTGCTATTTGAAATAGTTACCTAATTTTTAATGATTAACAGGTTGGAAGGAATAATTTCAGGCCTCCACCCAAAGTTGAATCCAGTGTTGTCAGAATAGAGCCAAAGAACCCTCCACCACCTATTAATTTTCAGGTGAGATTCAAATGCTGCAGACCATAGCCAATAAAGTAACTGAATAATAGTACTGTTTGATGTTTCATTCTGTATGCTCTTTCAAATGGTGTAAAAGCAACACAATACAGCTCATGTAACCTACATTAGCAGCGTTAAAGGGTTTTCTTAAACAGTTTAAATAGGCCTAACTCCATCATATCAATAGACTAGACCAGTGGTTTTCAACCTTTTTTTTCATTTGCAGACTCCTAAAAATTTCAAATGGAGGTATGGACCCTTTTGGAAATCTTAGACATAATCTGCAGACCCTCAGCAGCCTGCAGACCACAGGTTGAAAATCACTGCACTAGACATTCATTGACTCTCCATTGTACCTTGCCCCTTCTTGATCAGACTCATCTGAGTATCTTTCCAACATTATCTGGATGCCCCAACAGCAGTTCAAACTTAGCTTTCCTCAGAACCCCTGTTCCTTCCCTGGAAGTGACACAGGCCAGGATTGCTGTGGTTAGGTTTGTCTCAGACTGAAAGGTAAAAGCACGTGGCCAGCAGCTGGTGGTGATAATACCTAGCTATTTTGTAGCTCTTTTCATCTATAGACCTCAAAGTGCTTAAAAGACATTTATGGCTGTTGGCAGTATTTAGTTGATCAAGAGCAAAGAAGAGTCCTTTAGGACTCGGAGACTATGCACTCTTGCTGAAGATCAACACTCCAGGGCACTATTACTCTAGACATTTATTAAGTGTTTCCCTTTTTTACATATCATCACCCCAGTTTTGCCCAGGTTCAGCCAGATGTTCTTCATCCATATGACTTCTAGCTATCTAGATATCTGTGTGATTGTCCAGTTAGCAGTTCAGTAATGCCTGCCTACCTTTGCCAGTGAAGTATTTAGCTTGTCAATTTGTACTACATTGTATTGGACTGAGCTGTGTTGTGCTATTACTGAGATTTACCTCTTTGTCATTGTGCTGTTATGAAATTAATAGTAGATAATCTGGCCTGGTTGTTAGCAGCTGTGTATTGCTTCAGGCAAATGTTGTGCATTTTGTGTTTCAGGAATGGGATGGTCTAGTAAGGATAGCCTTTGTCAGGAAAAACAAGACACTCTCTGCAGCATTTAAGTAAGTTATTTCTATTGGAGGGTTTTTTTTTTTTTCAAAGTTTAAGAGTTTATCTAATTGCTTGTTTCTCCTACAAAAATGCCTAGCAATCCTCCAGTCTAGTTCTGTAGCAAGCCTGGCTTCAACAACCATGTTAATAAGACTATTCAGGCATCCCCATAGTGCAAGGTTGGACAGTTTACACTGTGGTCATGGATATATTATACAGTGAAACCTTTACATGCCAAATAGGCAGCTGCCTTAAGAGATCACCCAATGTGTTCAGTACAGGTGCTTCATCTTTATTATAAAAACCTCTGAACAGCCACTCAAGTCACAACTTGTTTTTTTAAAAAAACAGGTTTCACTGCAGATATAGTTAGACTTCTATATCCATGGTTGACTCACTGTATTGACTCACTTTTCAGATCAAGTGCGGTACAGCAGCTGCTGGATCAGAATTATCGAATTCACTGTTCTATACATAATATTGTAAGTAGAATGGTTTTCCTTTTTAATGTGTTAAATGTAACATACAAGGTAAGCTAAGTATGAGATGTAAAATTCAAAAGCAGCAAGATGGTACAAAAAACTTTCATCCAGAAGTTAAAACCTAAGAGTACCTTTAGAATAACAGAATATCTAAAATAAACAGAATTCTAAGATCCTCTAAACTATAATGAAGGTTTACATGAGAATTTAGAAACAAAGGATATATTGGGATTCCACTGATGTCTCCAAGGGTGTAATTTACTCTCCTCCCCACTAAGGGCTGCTCAGACCTTGGCATAGTATAAAACCATTGACACTGCATCGATTTGAAAATATTTCTAGTGACTCATCTGCAGTGAGTTTGAGGTTGTTTACAGAAATCTAGAAACCAGGCATACACTGATCTATTTTTTTTTTTTAATATTTAGCTCTTTTAATAAGATCTATTCCAGATCCTTAGAAGAGAATGGTGAGTCGGGTTAACTTCAGCTAAAGCAACCTGTTATGTATAGAATTGTGCTTAACATCTAAAGTATTTTTTTGTTTAAAATATACACTAGTTCCTCATTTTAATACTGGCTAATGTGGCATTCACTATGCTGTCCAGTTCTTTAGTCTTCCTAACTTGCATGGTGCTGCATCAAAACTTCCAATTTGCTCTGGGGATATACATTATTCAAAAATAAATTTCTCTTAAAACTTTATGATCTTCTCTTTGTGCATATAGAGCCAACCAGTGATATAAAATAAACAGTCTTTTAATTAGGTAGCTGTAGAACCTAAGTAGTCTAGAAAAATAACTACATTCTCTGAAATATTTATCCACTGGTTGTTTTTATCCTGATTTTCTTCTTCCTGAGGGCAAGAAGAAGAGGTGTATAATTTCAGGGGACTTGTGTCTGACAATGATTAGTTCACCTAACCCAGGATTCAGTGTTTGTCTGGTTGGCAAGATGGCTGTATCAGGATCAATATAATATCCATAATTTTAAATGTCGTCAATGTAATTGCTTAATATTTCAGTAGTTTAATATTGTTTTAAGGGAGGGTATGAAGTTAAGCTGGGCCACACAGTATTTTGTGTGTTTTGAATTCTGCAAATATTTAAACTCATTCTTTTGCATTTGAACCTCTTTGCTCCACATTTTTAGTCTGTCTGTTGCACTAAACAGTGCAAGATTCTGTATTTTAAAGAACCAGATAAATAAGGTGTTTGTTTAAAATTACACTGGACCTCAGTTGTTTGGGGGAGGGATAGTTGTTTCTAAGCTAATATTTAGCATTTTTGGGGGTACAGCTAACGGAGGGTAAATTAAGCCGAATTTCCAGGTTTTACTGTCACGGGTGGCTAATATACTTTGTGTTGATACCTCAAACCCAAAGGCTTTTATGCTATTATACATTTAAACTATTATAGACAAACATACAGGAACCAGCATCTTTTGCTAAATTCAGTGTGGATATGCTCAACTTTAAAATGGGTTGAGATGAGTTTCCAGCAGGTTTAAGTGGTAATAAAACTAGAACTAGCGTAGTGTTCAATGGGTGGTGGTTTCCCTTTTGGATGCTTAAAATCAGGTCCGGGCTACCTAATCAATACCTGCATGCTTGGCACAGAAAAGTTATATCTGCACTTAAAGTAGCACGTAGAGTTCAGACACTGCCCACCTGGCTAGCACAGGTATAAATAGCAGTGTAGCTGGTGAGGCACAACTTAGGCGACTAGAGTGCCCTACCCGTGTGCTCTACATGCCCAAGCAGTGCCTCCCACATCTACACTGCTATTTTTAGTGTTGTTGTGTCCCACTGCCAGCGCCTTTCCCCGCCACAGTGAAAGGCTCCAGTGGGTACAGACAGCAGGAAAAGGCCCCAGGAGTTCCCTGCTGCCTCTCCACTGCAGGAGTCTTTTTCTGCTACACATAGCTACACCCAGTAGTGATAAGTGTGGATGCAGCCTGCCTTTCACTGCCACTTGTAGCTGCATGTGTAGTGCTTGTACTCTGCACACTAAGGGTAGACATAGCCAAAGATGCAAGCAAAAAAAAGGGGGGGGAATAGATTTATATTCTAGTAGCACCAGAACCTCTGATCTACGTGCTGAATGAAGGTAGAGGTAGGCATGGTTCCTGCTTCTTTCTCAAGTATATTAATCCCTCCCAACATTCAAAGTAGCTAAAGTAGGTTGGATACTACCTCCAGGAACTGAGGAGAGGTTGGGGGGACTGGGCGGATCCTGTCCCCTGCACGGGGCGGGAGGGGAATTGCAGGGTGAGCGCAAAGCAGGTTGCTCTGCAGTGGCAGCTCCTGTTCTGCAGGGCTGGCTGACCTCAAGTTCCTGCTCTGAGTACTGTGACTTGGACCCTGGCATATGGGTTGCAACACTGCTCAGGTTTAGCCCACATGGGCCAAATCTGAGTGAGTGGTGTTGCAATCCTGTGCACCAAGTTGCAATGCCACTCACTCAAATTTGCCATCCCCACCCCTGCTGGGGGCCAGGCCAAACCTAAGCAGTGTTGCAAACATGGACAGCAGGGGCCAGGTCACAATGCCTGGAGCAGGGAGCCTAGTCCAGCCAGTCACATGGGGCAGGGGCTGCTTTAGCTGGGGGTTTGTGTATCAAAGCGGGACAGTCCTGCAAAACCCAGGCTTGTTGGACAGTCTGTGTATACCTTGATGAGAAAACGGCAACCTGAATTTTTATTCTTTAAAGCATTTTTCATCTGGAATGGTCAGTCACTTTGATGTATAGCAAAGCTTGGGCATGGTGCTTGGATACCTGAAGACTTGTGGAATGAACAAGCTTTTAAAAATCATTAATGTTGAAGAAATAACTTATCTGTATTGCAACTTGCATTGACAGGAAATACCAGAAAACTTCAAAATTGCAGAGAAAATACAGATGGTTCTAAAAAATACAGGTTTCTCTGAAAAACGGGCTCGCTCAATGGATATAGATGACTTCATTAGGTAAACTCATGGTCTCTGAATTCCCTTCATACTTCAAATACTTATTGTGCTCTGTTCTAAAAATGAAGGCACATCTCTGGGTTGGATTCGGGGAAAAGTAGTGATATCCCAAACATTACTCTCTTTTGATATGAGATGTCAAACTTTTGACATGCTATAGATCCAGTGAGTACATTACTGTAAATATAGGGGAAACTACCTCTTAGTACACTCTTTCACTCTAGTAGTCTAGGATGATTTTAGGTCCAACAATGAATATATATGAAAACAATGGGGATTCTGAACGGAAGACTGAGTCTGTTGTAAACTTACTTATGTTAAACTTCTAGATTAGTAGGAATTTAAATTTGTGCTGTATTTAGTTGAAAACTTACCCTAGACTGGGGTTCTCAACCTTTTTCTTGCTGAGCGCCCCCCTCAACATGCTGAAAAAAAAAAAGGGGGCCCTGCGGGGGAATGGGAGGGAAGGGAACTCAGGGCTCTAGGCCAGGGGGGACTCTTGGGCATAGGTATAGTTTTACTTCTAATTGAGGGGGGCAAGAGCTGGCAGGGCTCGAGCCAGCTCCTTCAGAGAGGGAGCGCCACCTCCACCCCGACCTCACTCAGGAAGGCACCCAGCCTGAATGGACTGTGGGGGGATGCAACCAAAAACTATAATTCAAAGGGGGGACTCAGTTCAAAAAGTCTGAAAACCGCTCAGGGAGGGGGGTAGCTGGGGCTGTGTGTGGGCAAGGGGGTCGCTCAGGGTGCAGGGAGGCAGTAGCTAGGGCTGTGTGCAGGCAGGGGAGTAGCTCAGGGTGCAAGCAGGGGCGTAGCTAGGCGCTGCATATGGATGGGGTGGGGGCTCCCAGTGTGACTTTAGCACCCCTTTACCCCCCCACCGCCGCTACTCCTGGCTTGCAGGGGGGGAGTTGTGGGCTTCAGCCTTCTGCCACTCCCAGCTGGAGGGGGGTGCTGTCGGCTTCAGCCCTGTGCTGCTCCCAGCTTGTGGGGGGTGGCGCTAGCTATAGTGCTGGGGGCACTGGATTTCAGCCATGGGGCTCTGCAGCCCCCATGCAAGGGCTCACAGACCCTCTGGGGCCACAGACCCAAGGTTGAGAACCGCTGCCCTCCACTCCAATTATCTGTTTTCTGTGAGCGGCGTTATTTATAAATCCTTAAACTCATTATTACACATGATGATGCTACACGCAGGCTGAGGGCAATAAAGCAACACACATTTAATCAAATTTCTGTTGAAAAGGAGCTTGACAGTTGGATTACATAAAGCTGAGAGAAGTAGTTTATCACCACAGCTGAAGATCCTGATCCCTTGGTATGAAGAAACAGATTATATAGATTAAACTGCTGTTTACAGCATTCTGGAGTACCTAAATCTAATTCCATAAATTACATTATAAGAGTAGGACAAGTTACCTCTAATTTTCATCTTTCCTGAAGTCTTATACATCTCTCCCTTAGCCTCCCTTTGAGTTTCTAGGCGTATTAGACAGCCTACAGAATTCTGAAACTGCGGCTGTTATATTGATGACCATGTGTTCTCTTGTTGCTTATCAAATTAGGCAGTAGAAATCCTATTTTACTGTGTAGCTTCAGAATGTTTGATACATTTGAGTAAACAATGTAACACAGGATGTTAAAGAAATGGCCTAGAACACTTGCATACAAGGAAGTACTCACTTGTTTTCCTTTCTATACTGTTATCTATTCATTGTTTAGGAAATGTGGCCAGCTAATCAGACCTTGACTCAGGTGGAGAGGAGCTACACCCAAAAGGGTAGTTTCTACTAATTCCAACTTCTTGGCATAAGTGACTTAACAGGTCTTGCTCCTGTGCCCATCTAACTCAAGTGCTGCTCTTTGCCTAGTGAAGGTTAAACTGACTGGTAGACAAGGTTGCTCTCAAATTACATCTGTCCTGAACTTCCAAAGTTGAGTGCTTACTACTAGTCCTTACCATAAACCTACTAACAGCTCCTTGACGTAATGACTGGAACAGAAAGCAGTATTTTAAGACTTCTCTCTTCTTACCCACTCCCTTCATCTAGGTAGTATTTGAAGTAAGTGTTACTGTGTGAAGTACAAATTCATGTAAGTTGACCATTTTAATTTTTCAGGGTGCTGCATGGCTTCAATTCAGAAGGCATCCATTTTTCATAAATGGCTGAACAGGGAGCATTTTACATTCTCTGGGGCGAACTGAAATGTGACATCAACGAAGGTGTTTGTAGGAGGAAGACCTCTCATGTTGCGAGCAATCACCAGCATACAAAGTTTATATGACTATTCTGCAATAACTGCTCAGAAGTACTTGTTTGAAGACAATAGCTGTAAAGGTGCTGTGTTGCATTTTAAAATTGTAACTGTCAAGACTAAAGCTGTGCCTTTTTTCCCCCCATCAGAGCACTTTTTAAATGTACCCTATGCTATGAAGTGGCTCCAAAAGCCCCAAATTAAACCCTTCCCTCCCTGACTTTGCACCTTCTCCTGCCATTACAACATTCAGAATGGAACTCAAACCTTTGTTTGTTTGGCCACCACAGAACTATTTGTAGATTGGTGACATGATACCAATTCATCAGAGTTTAGAATAAATTAATTTTAAAAAAAACGAAGTATGCATCTCTTTAACCTTTCCTTTCTGGTAGCTACCATAGGCCCTGGACTATTGGAGAAATTGCTGCTAGAATGAGCAGATCACCACTGTATATGTTCTAGATGTAGGGGCAGTTAACACTCTTGGGCACGTTGGCTGTGCAACCTGCTAGCAAGAGCATGGTAGGCTTTAAAAAGACAGAACAGTTCTTTTGCCTGGTACAGTCCTCTTAAATATCCAAACTTGTTTTCAGCTGTAGTTACATCTTACTGCTAGACCCTGAATTGCATTCAGAGGCAGGGAAGAATATGATACTACCATTTTCACATAAAAATTTTCTGTAACAATGCAGTTTGATAGACATTGTATGGTGCCTTTAAACTGCCTTAACCATACTGTACACTTAAGTACTCCATCTGTTATAGACATCAAAGTGCTTTACAGGGCTGGGTAAGCAGTATTCTCTTATTTCACAGATTGTAACTGAGGAGCACAGGTTAAATGTCAGTGGCAGAGCTGGGAACAGAAATCACCACACTGTCCATACCTCTTTCTTACACAAGTAACTCTAGGATGTGCAGTAACTGCACTGGCTTTTCCCTTAAACTGCATACATTAAATACTATAAGCTGTGTACATCTAATCTCAATAGAGATCCCTATACTTAAATATTTCTCAAAATTGTAGGCAGTTGTACAGTACTGAAGAGTGCTATCAGATGCTATTACCAGATTACTATTCCAGGCAAGCAGGAGAGGCAGTTTCTTGCATAATTTTCCCCCTTACATCTCCCTTTAAATTCTTAACATTGAATATAGGCAGTAAGCTTTGTTACAATGCTAGCTGCATTATTCCATTTTTGTTAATGAAACTTACAAAATGTTCCAAAAGTATTTTAATATTTAACATTTCCTAGTTCTAAAACTGAGTCTTTGTTCATAGTGTGAATTATAGGTTAAGGGCTACAGGGTCACACCATTAAGTAGCAGTTAAAGATAGAGTAAATGCTCTTGTGGTAATTGCCTATGCTTAGAGCAGTGATAGGCAAAGCTAGATCAGCCTTGGAACACAGATTCTATAACACCCTTTTCCCCCTGCCAATGAGGAGGTGGTTGATGGCCTTAAGTGCAAAATCTGTAAATGCAACAGCTGGAGATGTTTCAGGCCTGGAACAAGGAACAAGCATGTCATTCTCTATCATAAGGTTCTATAAGTAAGTATTGCTTCAGAGTCTGGACAAGAGAGCTTTTATTCACCTTAAGCTAGCACAACAGCCCTCTTCTCCCAGCATGCAGAAAATAAGCAATCTATACAAAACTAGCAAAGCCTAGCTTGACAAACCGCTCTGCAGCCAGTAGCTAACTGGAGTAGCAGCAGCACTGGTCCCCTTTGTTTTGGCAGGGAGAGGGAAGTGTCCGTAAAAACTAAGGTTTTATCTCACACAGTTTGGTAGGATTTTCTCTAACTTCCCTCTATGCAAGCTGAGACAATTGGCCTTAATTGGTGTGGTATCCTACTCTTTTAAAACCTCAGATCAGCAAGTGTCCTGATTTCTTACTATAAACATCCACTTGAACTCTTGCCCTAAGTGTATCACCTTTTGGAGAATATGTTTACCACAAAGATCTCACTGGCTGTCCATTATAGCAGAATGTTCCTAAGAAGCTACTCCCTAAAGTGGAAATACATAAGTGATCATACTTCTTTCCTTTCCATTATTCCTTTCCCACATGATTTCTTTTGTGATATGAGGCCTAGTGTGGGAGACAAGAACAAGTCAGTGAAACATTTAGCTAAGAATAATATTTCTCATCAGCAGTGATGAAAGTAAAATGTGTTTTACATAGAATTATTTTAAAAATTGGACATGGATAGGAGCAGGCATATTATCTAAAATACAGCAGATTCATACTTAAACTAGCTGCACAGTTTCTCATGAAATTTACAACAATCTGAATAACATCTACCATTCTTAATTTGCAGTTTGATGCAGTAATCCATAATGAATCACATTTAGATTACACATTTCAGAGGATCTTAAAGCACTATATGTATTGCAAGACTCTTTACAGGTAGACAAAAAGGTTGTGACTTGCTAAAGGACCACCACCCACATTATCTTGACTTCTTGTATATAAATCTTCTACATGATATGGCTCAAACCTTGAGGAAAAGTGAGATTTAGACTTAGCAATTCAGATCATTTTAATTAAAGCTTTTGATTTAAGAAGCAGGGAATTCTTTTAACCTACATCAGTTACTATGAACAGAAACACTTTTGCTAGTTTTACTTAGTTATCTAATAAAATTTCCTTTTAATTTTTTGATGGATTGCATTCTTAGATGAATGCAGTGAAAGATCAGTACATTTTGATATAGCTGTTTAAGGACTGAAGTCAGTGAAACAATACAAGTCTGTACAGGATGGTTATTACAATAAAACAAACACCCATTCTAGCACCATGTGCCTTTTAAGTATGATTTTTGTAAAAAAATCAGATACATCTAATTTCAATAGATGTGATCACAAAGTAAATTCCTTCCCAAAGCAAATGCAAGTTTCATAGAAGTAAATTCTCATCTCTAATTGATGTTTCATTGTTTAATTTATTAAACACATTGTGTAAAATCTACATTGCTTTTTCAGCTTTCATGTTTACAGATAGGAGCTTTTTACCATGATGCAACAAAGGTCTCCCATAGCCTACCTTCCTATGGGAGTTACAAACATTAAATGCTGAGAATCTCTGGCTCATTTAGCTCTCTTTTCATTGCCTTCCCTTTATTTCCCTTCAGTCCTGGCATAAATGGGCTTGTGTTCCAAAAAACAAGTTTAAAACCATTCCTAGGGTCTGCTGATATTAACTCTTGGAATCGGTCCTGGAAACAGGGAGAACTCAGAGGGCTAAAATTGTTTGACAAAAAGTTCTTACATAAAAGGTTTTTGTTTTTTTTCCCCCCCTTCTTTTGGACACTGACTGGCAAAAATAACTCAAGTGCCATCACCTAAAAAGTGCTGGATACGTATGGTGCTATTTGTGAGACTTCAGGTACCTGTGGGATTTATATCGTATTATGTAGAGTTTGTGCAGCCTATTGTGCAAATCCAAAATGATAGATTCACCCCACTTTTCAGCTGCTGGCACTGTACAAAGGGAAAAATATGCATTAGCTACTTTCTTTAAAGCAACAGTACTACTCCATACAAACTATCTGCAAACTACAGTTAATGCACATGTAAGTTGTCATGCTAGTATGTGAAAAGGTATTGTGTTTATGCTATTCACTGGATCCCTGAACTTTTATAGTCCTCCTACCCATACGTAGAGATCAGATTGCACCTTTATTCTAGACAGCATTTATCACACTTATACACATACTGTATATCTGTATTATTCTAACATACAACTCTCCTCCATACTTAAATGTTACCTTTTATTATACATCAACTAATTTATATTGTTCTTTACAAAGAAAACATTAGCATTTTATAACCATTCTTTATGGTATTCAAATAAATCATGATTCCAGATTTCTACGAGGATGGAATGTCCAGCTGTTGTACATCCTGTGAAATGAACTAGTCACCGAAAAAAAAAAGGCTCACACACATTAAAGATGTACACACAATAAAAGTAATTTACATTGACAAATAAGGAATGTCATTTATTAAGGCTGTGCTTCAGAAAGGACATTTAGGATCAAGTAGCCTTCATCAAGGCACAGAATGGGAATAGGTTAGCACAGCTATCTCTAGAAGAGAAGTTATGTACAATCACTGATGAGGTGTGCATGCACGCAAACACAATTTAAAACTGAACAGCTGGTCTTTGTAACAAAATTGGACATCATTAAAAGGAAATAGTGAAGTTTTTCAAGTCCACAGTTTTACTTCATTATTAAAAAAAAATGGCAAAGATTTCCAAAACATAAAATTCACAATTTGAATAAATGAAAATTTTTCAACAAAGTGCTTCACAGCTCTGAACCCTGCATGGTTGTGCTGTGCTGTCTGGTCTAGAAGCATTCTGGAGACATCATTGAAGTGTTTCACACAAAACTGAAAATGTCATTCAGGTGAAGGAGAAACTGGACATTTCCACAGAGACTTCAAAAGTTTTTATGCTTTCAAGTAGTTGAGTTCTTACAGCCACCATCTCATAACAACTGTATGTTACAGCAGTAAGGGCTCGGGGGATCCATTAGCAGCAGAGGCCCATTTCAAAGGGCACGTGGTCTCTTCGGATTGATCTGTTTACTGGCCTGTTCCTCCTCTTGTAGAGCTGCCCGGAAAGATTTCACTTTATCTTAAAAAAAAAAATAAAGAAAGAAAGAAATGCCACTGTGCTTGTATTCAGTGGGTGTTTTGTAGGTAAGTCTTGAGGTTGCAAGTATTTCACCAGCAAAGAGCACAAAGTTGTTGCATTCCTCCATACATGTGAGCAGAGGCTACAGACAACAAGGAGCCAGGGAAGATAATGGACATGTTTGAGTACATAAGCTCAAGTGTAATACTCCCTATATAAACAAGTTTCTTAGCAACCTGTTCCCCTCTTAGGCCTTACTCCTGTTTCTAGGAAACTTCACAGTAGCACATTCAATGCAGAGTATGCTTCCCAGGCACTCCCTGTCCGTCCTTATCAGCTATACGCACAAAATCTCCAACTGAGCAGTACAGGATTAGCCTCTAACATGTTTCTATATATTAATGCAACTTCCTGTGCTATCTTTAAAATCTCTAGAATTGGATTGGAGACCATTCTTTATACTGACATGACTGATTTAAACATCTACATGAAAACAATGCCTTCCAGAATCCACTATTTTCCTGTAACACAGAAACGGACTTTTGTGACTGCAGTTACACAACAAATGGAGACTTCCTCCATATTTATTTATTTCACTGCAAAACTCCAGAGAATTAAAGAATACTGGAAGAGAAGGGTGTAAAGGTAATTCTGTCACTGTCTTCCTTTTCACACCCTACAACACTATAATCCATAGATAGTTACACAGCTCCATCTACCAAGAAACAAGGAGAGAAGACTGTCAAGTTGAGGCCAGTATAGAGAAACTAGTTCCAAAATCTCTGAGCAATAAACAAGAGTTGGAGTACTCATCACCATGACCAATACCCTCCAAGGGGAGGAATGGGAGAAGTACCAACAATTACTGGCAATAATTTCCTTTTCCATCTCTTTTTCCCCACCCTACAAAGAATTCATAGTCAGCAAGTGTACCAGGCAGTATGAATAGAAGCAAGTGTTTATTCTAAATAGCTATGCTTGCAGCACCTTATTTCAAAGGCAGCCTGTAATGATTTTGAAAGAGAGTGGAGTTGCCCAATTTGCTGCTTTACCAAAGCCATTGTCAATGTCTACCAACTTCTCTTCCTCAGAGGAAGCAATGGGCTCACAGGTGGCACAAGGAAAGTATAACACTCTTTTGTTAGATCCGTTTGAGTTACACTTAACCCAACACACAGTGTTAGAGCAGGAGCATTAAATATATAACTCATGGGACACATCCAATAAATGCATTCATGTGGCCTGCAGGACATATTCAGATTGTGCAAAATCTAAAACTGTTTTCATTTTTTTTTTCAAGGAACTTCCCAACATTATGGTTTCAAAGAAACCCAATATATCCAAAACTAATGACTCAGAGGTGTACATTCACCCCCATTACTCTCACTGGAGTGACCAATTATGCCATGAGGAGTGGCTCTAGATAAGATACAGTCTGAAGAGACAATCTGGGGCACTGAGAATCTGCATTCTGATATGATTGAACGAGAGGTTGAAAACAAGCTGCAGAGATGAAGGCTTCTGAGCTGAGAACACATTCGTAAGCAAGAGCTGTTCATAGCTGGATACAGATCTAAACTCTGGTGGGCAGACCTAGAAGAGTGACCTAGAAGCAGTCTCCCCAGCCTCTGATATGCAGCTGGGAAATAAAGCAGCAGTTGGGAGTTAACTGGCAGACTATTTATTTCTCTCTGCCTTATTTTCCCTTTTCCTGCAATTCCATTTAGACTGTTTCCTTCCTTTGTTGTTTTGAATGGGCTAGGACAGAGAGATAGACAAAGAGAGAAGAAAGCTGGAGGACTGAGCATAGGTTCTAGACTTCCAGGATCCAGGGGGGCAAAATGAAGAATTTTTCCTCTATACTGGTACTGACAGATTATTTGCTTCCTTGAGCCGGTGTAATGGAGCTATAGTGCTCTCTGAATTGAATATGGGTTGTAGGACAGAGGAAGAAAAAAAATTCATAACAATATTCAGTTATAGCTCATTATTGTTAGTTAGTCCTTTTGATGCATAAAAACCCACAGCTAGTAACACACACATAAATAGGGGTCTACTTAAATCACGGAGAAATCACACATTTTTCACAGGTTGGTCATGGCATACATAGCAAGTTTCACAGATGTGTAACACATCTGTGAAATTTGCTATTTATGCCATGACCAACTAACGAAAAATGTATGATTCCTCCACAGCGTTTCTCAAACTGGGGGCCCGACCCAAAAAGGAGTGTGACGTTACACTCCATATTCTTTATGAAAATATACTTATGATATGGATAGGCCATAACAAATATACTTTATGCAAGATGGCTCATGTAAGATATCATTGGAAAGGTTATGATTTACTGAATGTGATTATCCAATTTGTATGCATGTATCATTTCTGTATCTAAAGTTAGGAATATGGACTATGTAACCATTACAGCTGGGTATGTATTTGGAAGACACCCACCAGACAACAGGCCATCAAATTTGATGGGCCATCAGGAAGAAACAACAAGACTGTGAAGATACTAATCTTTCTCCTTCCTGCGAGGTGTCCTGGACTAGCTGACACTACTAGGTCAGGTGGTCCTGCCACCTGGTACTAAACACTACCTTGGACTTCTAGTAATTTTCCACTCACAGGAAGAGGAGGTCAAGTTTGGGAAACAAAAGGCTTCCCGCCTTATGTAAATTCTATTTAAGGCTGGGAGGAAAGGCATTCCAGACTCTCCTCCATGGCCTACCCAAGAAGAAGGACTGCTGAAAGAACCTGAAAGGACAAAAGAGACTAACCTGAAGGGAAAGGCAGGAGTGAGTCCAGACTGAGACAGGGGTCCAGTCTCTAAGAATAAATAACTAGAACTCTGAGCTACAGAAACTCTGCATTCTGCCTAATTCAACATTTAGGGTGAGAAATTACTTTTTGTAATCGGTTTCTTTCGTGAATCAAGCTTAGTTTGTGTGTTTTGTTTTATTTGCTCAGTAATCTGCTTTGTTCGGTTTGCTACCCCTTCAACCACTTTAAATCTGCCTTTTATAGTTAATAAATTTTGTTTTCTTTATATTAAACCCAGTTTCTGTAATTTCTAACCGGGGAGAGTGGGGGGAATGCAGTTGTGCATATCTTCCGCCACACTGAGGGAGGGGGCGAATTTATCAGCTTACGCTGTATAGATTTCTCTACAGCGCAAGACAATATATCTTTGGGTCTGCACTTCAAGGGAGGTGGACAACTGAGTGCTGGGGCAAGTCCCTGAAGCTGAGTCTTCCAGAGCGCTATGTCTGTGTCTTTCTACAGCTGTGTGTGGCCCTGCCTGTGTGTGTATGCTAGAGGAGGCTTAAGAGTCTGGCTCAGAAAGACAGGTTAAAGGGGGCCCATGCTGGCAGTACAAGCAGCCTCAGTGGAATCTCAGCACATCAGGTGGCATCTTGAAGGGGGGAAACCCATCACAGGGAGTCGCAAGCTTATTAGGGGGTCACGGTATTACCACCCTTACTCCTCCGCTACTGCTGATGGTGGCACTACCTTCAAAGCTGGACACCCGGCCAGCAGCTCTCACTCTCTGCTCTGCCTTCAGAGCTGGGTGACTGGAGGCCACATTTCATGGGGGAGACCAGATTCCACTGTCCGTGATGTGATTTTCACAGCTGTGAATTTGGTAGACCCCTACTCATAAATGGACAAAAAACACAGCCTTACCTCGGAGTTCAGTCAAAATGTCAATTTTTTGTTCTAGGATTGCTTCAAGTTGTGTAGCATAAGAATCCACGTCATAATCTACTTCTTCAGCCATCTCTAGAAGAGCTTTTTCATCTTCCAACCATCGAATAGATTCCTGAAAAGACAAGAGATGCACGACCGCTGAATGCATTAGCCAGGAGACAATCTGAAGGCAGACAGCTGAATTCAAAGTCTTTCTGCTTTCACAAAGCTAGTTATACCCTTTTACTAGACAAACAATTTCATGAATTGTAACATGAATTCACTTCAGTATCTGAATTTTTGTTTTCTATGTAGCAAAACTGTAGGTTTTTAATATGTTTTATAATACATGGTTCCTTCATTCCAATGGCTGTGTCAGGAACGGCCAAAGATAGTGGCCCCAATTCTCTGCTACAGTCTGGAGCACTCAGCATAGCTGCAGGCAGAGGGGAAAAAAATCACTGCTTGATGCCATCTTTGTAGCCCTGATATAAGGACACCATGCACTGAGCTAGACTGGTGATGCAAGTATGTGTGGGCTGCCCACAACTCCAAGGGACCATTCGGACATCCCGGGGCACACCCCCAAGCAAGCTTTGTGGGAGGGGCCTGTGCCATAGGAGCCACTACAACAGCTCCATTCCACAAGAGGATTCCCCTACACCAGGGGTTCTCAAACTTCATTGTACCACGACCCCTTCTGACAACAAAAATTACTACACGACTCCAAGAGTCAAAAAACTCTGGGATAGCTCAGTGGTTTTAGCATTGGCCTGCTAAACCCAGGGTTGTAAGTTCAATACTTGAGGGGGCCAATTAGGGATCTGGAGCAAAATCAGTACTTGGTCCTGCTAGTGAAGGCAGGGGGCTGGACTCGATGACCTTTCGGGGTCCCTTCTAGCTCTATGAGATAGGTATAAGAGGGGGGACTGAAGCCTGAGTCTGCCTGAGTCCCAACACCTCAAGAAAGGAGGCCGAAGCCCAAGATCTTCAGCCCCAGGCAGGGGGCCTGTAACCTGAGTTAACGGGGGAGCTAGCGAACAGGAGCGACTAAAAGGGGAGTTTTGCGAGGGAGTTTAGAGGGGAAGTGGGTGGGAGGGGTGCTAGAGAAACTTAACGTTCTTTAAAACTTAAAGCCAAAACCACCCCCCAATAAATACAAAACATCAACCAAGGAATGAGCTTCAGGAGTAAAAAGATAATGCAGGCAAAAGTCCAGCAACAGAGTGGGGGCTATCCAGTTTATTGCACCCAATGCAGCATGTATGATTACCTGCCCTATGGGCAGGTAGTGTATGTGTGCATTTGGTGCAAGGAGCTCCTGGCCTTCAGAGACTGTGTACAGGCTGAACTAGAGGAGCTAAGAGAGACAGAGGTACATAGATGAGACTTTCCAGGACACAGTAGAACAGACCAACCCCTGGTCTGACAGCCTCTGTGCTGATTAGACAGTCAAATTTCAAGCTCAAATTGTGGGATTAGTGCCAAATAAGCTTCATCCCCAAAACACACAGCCACTAACACTGGAAGGCATGACTAAAACCAGAAAGGAACCAAAGCAGAAGAATTAACTCAATACTTAAAAAAAAAAAAAACAGTAACTGCTCTATGGTAACAAGGCTTCTATAAGACTATCAGCTTCTGAAAAGAAAACAACAGAAGTTATACAGACAATATATCAGTGTGCTTCTCCACTGCCACTGTGACAAAGGAGTTGGTGCTTGGGGGACATGGTGTATTATATATGATTCGGACTCTGTCTTGCCCGTGAGAATTGTGTTTAGAAATCTGTGAAGGTATGAGTGCACTAGTATACCATGACATCTTCCGTCCCAAGAGTTTGAACTTCCCTCTGGCCAATGTGAGCTATTTGATTAGTACAATCAGTATTTTACCTGGAAGACAGCCCTGTGGTCTTCTACTACTTGCTCTTCCATTTCTACCATTTGTGACACAGCTTCATGGAAAGTAAACAACTGTGGAGAAACTTCTTCCTCCTTGAAAAAATAATAAAGTTTATTATTCTGTGATGAATTTTGCTTTAAAAATAATAAATTAAATAGGTGTTTCATCCTATCCCAAGATAAGAAAGGGAAATATATAGAAAGCTGTACTGCTGAAAAAGGGACTCAGGAGTGTACAATTTTCAACTTCTTGCACCTGGCTATACATGATCAGAAATTGGGGGAAGGAAGGGGGAAAAAGTAGCAAAACAAATGAAATTTCATTTATTTTTCATCTTTTTTGTTATAATTTTCCAAACAGTTCTTCTACTGAGTAACAAACAAACAAAACAAAACAACAAGAAGGAAACATGGAGTGGGAACCACAGAAATCATTACGCCTATTCTTTTTACATATCTACTAGTGATCTGGAAGAGAAAGAAATGTTAATTAGATCCACAGATACTAAACAGGGAGATGTTGCCAACACCAGCAAGGACAGGGAAAGTAACACAGGATCTCAAGAAAGTTCAAATTAGATACCTAAGAATTTTTCTTCGGTGTATCCATATTCACCATTTCCACAAACGGAGTTTTACTTCAGCGGTGCAATTAAAGGGGCAGGACCAGACTTGTCACTGAAGAGGTAGGGGACCTGTCTACTTATTAGTCTACTTCCTCTGTGCTCTCCTCTAGCAGAGGTGCCAATGCCTAAAAAGTCATTCCTGCCAGCACAATTGGTGTAGTCAATGACAGACTCAAAGCCAAGCAGGCAGGCAGGCGCGACTTCCAGAGAGCAAATTTGCTTGGCAAGGTGCAGGGCAGCTGCCCAGGACGCTCGCAGCTCTTTGTTTCTACCTAACGTGGCACACTGCGCCTTTGTTATGAAAGCAGATTCCTAATGAGGAGCCCAGAGTACTATCCAGCAGGCAAAAGCAAAGCAAATCAATCTGGAGCTAAATTAGGGCTTGTCTACACCTGGAAGTTTACCAAAAGACGTATTCTGGAATAAGAATCAGAGGGGTAGCCATGTTAGTCTGTATCCACAAAAGCAACGAGGAGTCCAGTGGCACCTTAAAGACTAACAGATTTATTTGGGCATAAGCTTTCGTGGGTAAAAAAACACTTCTTCAAATCTGAAGAAGTGGGTTTTTTACCCACGAAAGCTTATGCCCAGATAAATCTCTTCTGGAATAAGACCATCCACATGGCATCTTATACTGTAATAATGATCATTATTCTGTAATAGCTATGTTATGTCCGCAAGTTTCAAAGTATAGACAAGCTCTCAATCATTCTAAAGTATTCTCTATGCTCTGTAGCTCAAAAAAGATGATGGGTCAGGAAACTGCCTGTAATTAAGGACATGCGTTTTGTTCCTGAAGAGAGAGTCAAGCCCCATCCTAAGGCAGCCTCCAAACTATAGTGCTGAGGGAACCCAATTGTAGCAGTGAATTTAGAAACATGGGCATAAGGCAAAATAAGATAAGCATGGAAAAATGCACGCTAGCAAGCCTTGTGGGGAAGAAAATCACTTGAAACAGCTATTTGCATGAAAGGAAAATATCTGGAGTAGTAATACTGAGAGCCCTAGAAGCAATAATGGAAAGAAAGGGCTTTACAGAATGCTGCCAGTTGCCTAATATGGGATGAAGGCATGCTAGGAAAAACTGTCTGGAGAAAAGCAGCAACTTCTAAAACAAACAAGCAGTGCTACTGAAGTGTCCTTAGCAGCAAGGAAAACAGAACGAATCTGAAACAAAGCAAACCCCACAAAACACATTTTTAGCATCAGCATTAACTTTATGACAATTTGAAAGAGTCCAGAGGCTAACTATACTCAACCAAGTAGCTAGTACCCTTATAAACATATATTACTCAGGATTTGATCTACTGTTGAATTCAAAGACAATATTATACACCTCTACCCCGATATAACGCGACCCAATATAACATGAATTCGGATATAACGCGGTAAAGCAGTGCTCCGGGAAGGCAGGGCTGCGCACTCCAGTGGAGCAAAGCAAGTTCGGTATAACGCGGTTTCATCTATAACGCGGTAAGATTTTTTGGCTCCCGAGGACAGCATTATATCGGGGTAGAGGTGTATATACACTCGCCTAAAATGATGAACGCTACTTACATTTTGTTCACAAAGAAGTTTAAGATCATCTCTCTGAGGTGAGCTCCCTACAGCCCACTGTGTCTCTAAATCATCAATTTGATTTGGAGCATGGTGTATAATTGGACGGATATCTCCTGCAGCACTAGGATCAACCGTCAGTTCCTTCACTCTACAATCATTAAAAAAAAAAAGATTTTATTTTAAAATAAATGATGCTCTACATAAAATAGCAAAAATAAATTAAAGCCTTATGGATTCAGATGCAATTTAATTCATTTAATAAAGGTGATGTCAACTTCACAAATTTAATGTGACTTTAAGGCCAAAAAAGGACCATCTAGTCTGCCCTTCTATATAAACACAGGACACATAATTTCATCTATTTCATCAAGGCCAATAACTTGTTAGAAAAACATCCCGTTTAGATTTAAAGATGGTGACTGCGAGACTGGCTTTGTTATAAATCAGGTACAAGGAGGGAAAAAACAAACCTAACCATAAACATTTAAGAACTGTATAACAAGTCAATAATAGTCGTAATCGTTAGTGTAAAGATAGCTTCACAGATTCTCTCTCTTTGTGTGCATCTTTTTGGTTAATAAATGATTCCACACTTTTTGACTTTAAAAAACAAATCTGTTTTCTCGCACTAACAATCTAGTGTCCATAAAGAATGGACAGATCATTAATTAAAGCCAGTTTCAATTTTGAGATTCTTAGAAAAGCTGAACATTAGCAAAATGAAAACAGTTTACAAAAGTGCAGCTGACATCATCCATTCAAGCAAGGATGTCCACTTTAAAAAAAGTTTATGAACTAAATGAATTCAAATTTACAAATAAACCAAAAAAGGTTAGACAAATATCCTTCAGTAATAATTAACCTTAACAACTTGCTAATATAGACTAAAAAAAAAAAAAAACCCAAAATACCCCACACGTATATGTAGGATTCACTACACTAATGAAAAATAAGAAGGTATACATTTCCTTTTATTTTTATCAGGTAATAAAATTCAAAGACTTAGAATTACTCTAAACAGACTTATGAGAACCAATCCACTAAATCTACAAAGGTAACATCACCATTTTTATGTATGAAGGGAAAAGCAAGCCTGAATATGAAATATTCAAATGTTTAAGAAAGAAAAATGAACAAAAAATTGGGAAGATGATTGCGGACCATGCAGTACCGTCACCTGTCAAACAGGACGAAAACAAAGTATGTGATGACTCAAAGCAAGGGAATAAATGAAGGTTTGGGTCTGTAAAATTATACAGCTAAACAGAAAAACTTAAAATAAAGATTCCATGTATAGAATGAAGTAGACCTGGTGATCGAAGGAGAAAAGTCGTCATACTCATAGGAAGGAGAGAGATCAGAGCGACTGCCACTACTCTGTGAGAAGGGAATGTCCGAAGGACTAATTCCAAATTCCTTTACTCTGCAGCAGCAAGATACAGCAGCATATTAAAAGAAAGTGTTCTTGTAAAGACATTAATTAAAATGACAACTTTTCATTTAGCATTCTCCTTTATAGTTTTGAAAAGAATGAAACAAATGAAGCAGTTCGTTTTTAAGATAAAACATGTTTAGAGACAGTGTTGAGACATTTAGGCTTCCTCAAATTTGAGTTTCAAGCATGTTTCTAAGAAAATTCAACTGGACAAATTCTGCTCATTTACAGCAGTGTAAATTTGTAATAATTCCACTGTCTTCAGTGGAGTTATTCCGGGTATACATTGGTATAATGAACAGAATTTGGCCCGAGTTCAATATTCCATGGAATTGCTCTTTTCAAAATATCAAGTGACTACAATTATAATTACTTCAAACTGCATACTACCCAGTTTCATGCGTATTGTAAACTGCACACACATTACTATTTAATGTGTCTAGAGTTCATATAATATCCGCAAGAAGTTACTTATTTATAAATTGATTAGCGCAGTCAAGTGATTAAAAAAATTAATCGTGATTAAGCACGTTGTTAAACAATAATGGAATACCATTTATTTAAATATTTTTGGATGTTTTCTACATTTTCAAATATATTGATTTCAATTACACAGAATACAAAGTATACAGTGCTCACTTTATATTTACTTTTATTACTGTAAAAAACAAAATAAATAGTATTTTTCAATTCAGCTCATACAAGTACTGTAGTGCAATCTCTATCATGAAAGTTGAACTTACAAATGTAGAATTATGTACAAAAAATAACTGTACTGAAAAATAAAACAATGTAAAACTTTAGAGCCTCCAAGTCCACTCAGTCCTACTTCAGCCAATCGCTCAGACAAAGAAACTTGGTTACAATTTGCAAGAGATAATGCTGTCCGTTTCTTGTTTACAATGTCACCTGAAAGTGAGAACAAGCGTTTGCATGGCACCGTTGTAGCCGGCGTCACAAAATATTTACGTGCCAGATGCACTAAAGATTCACGTCCCTTCATCTTCAACCACCGTTTCATAGGACATGCATCCATGCTGATGATGGGTTCTGTTTGATAACGATCCAAAGCAGAGCGGACCAATGCATGTTCATTTTCATCATCATGGAGTCAGATGCCACCAGCAGAAGGTTGATTTTCTTTTTTGGTGGTTCGGGTTCTGTAGTTTCCACATCTGAGTGCTGCTCTTTAAGACTTCTGAAAACATGCTCCACACCTCGTCCCTCTCAGATTTTGGAAGGTACTTCTGATTCTTAAACCTTGGGTCGAGTGCTGTGGCTATTTTTAGAAATCTTACTTTGGTATCTTCTTTGCATTTTGTCAAATCTGCAGTAAAAGTGTTCTTAAAACAAACGTGCTGGGTCATCATCCGAGACTGCTATAACATGAAATATATGGCAGAATGTGGGTAAAACAAAGCCGAAGACATACAATTCTCCCCCAGGGAGTTCAGTCACAAATTTAATTAACACTTTTTTTTTTAAACGAGCATCATCAGCATGGAAGCATATCCTCTGGAATGGTGACCGAAGCATGAAGGGCCATACAAATGTTTAGTATATCTGGCACATAAATACCTTGCAACGCCAGCTACAAAACTGCCATGCAAACGCCTGTTCTCACTTTCAGGTGACACTGTAAATAAGAAGCAGGCAGCAGCATCTCCTGTAAATGTAAACAAACTAGCGATTGGCTGAACAAGAAGTAGGACTGAGTGGACTTGTAGGCTCTAAAGTTTTACATTGTTTTGTTTTTGAGAGCAGTTATGTAACATTTGTAAGTTGCACTTTCATGATAAAGAGATTGCACTACAGTACTTGTATGAGGTAAACTGATAAAAAGAAATAGTATTTTTCATTTTTACACTGCAAATATTTGTAATAAAAATATTATAAAGTGAGCACTGTACACTTTTCAGAGTAGCAGCCGTGTTAGACTGTATCCGCAAAAAGAACAGGAGTACTTGTGGCACCTTAGAGACTAACAAATTTATTAGAGCATAAGCTTTCGTGGACTACAGCCCACTTCTTCGGATGCATATAGAGTGAAACATACATTGAGGAGAAATATATACACACACATACAGAGAGCATGTACACTTTGTAGTCTGTGTCGTAATAGAAATCAATATATTTGAAAATGTAAAAAAACATGCGAAAATATTTAATAAATTTCAATTGGTATTCTATTGTTTAACAGTGCGATTAATCATGATTTTTTTTTGATCACGATTAATTTTTTGAGTTAATCACGGGAGCTAACTGCAGTTAATAGACAGCCCTAAAATTGATATGAAAATGACACATTGTTAAAAGAGCATTGAGAGTTAAAATGCAACGGCAAGTGCAAGATTTAAATGTATGGACAAAGTCTACAAATGTAAGGTACGTATTAGATTCTGGCATACAAAGACAAATATAATTAATACTTCTGCACAGTAGATGGGTCTCTCTAAAATGTAAACCAAGTTCTCTAAGAAACTTGTTACAGAAATATTAAAAACACATACAGGCTTGCAGTGCATTATTTTTGCAGAATATAATAGCATCACAAGCACAGGGACAGTTATGTGCTTGAAATAGAAAACAAATTAACTGCCTCCCCTCAATTATGAAAAAGTAAAGATCTTCAAGGATCTCAGATGTTTACTGCTGAACATTTATTTCAGAGTTCTTGTTCCAGCAGTATACTCAAATATACAGTAAATTTAAAACATTTCTTAGATCTACAAAGATTTTTTTTTTTTTGAACCCTGGAAAACACTATGCAGTTGAGAAGTCCCGGACTACCCATTTCTACTCATAAGCCCAATTCTTCTAAAAGGAGTAATACAAAAGTAAGAGAAATTCTACCTCCCCACTTCTTGACAGTTAAAATATATGCCCAATGCATTATTCTATGCATTTACAGATCAAGTTATCAAGTTTAGAAGAAAACTTAAATTTACAGGTGACAAAAAATCCTGTTTGTATTGCATACTTCTGTCAAAAAGGTAAAAGTGACGAAATTAAAGCAATACAGGATATCCATACTCAATCAGAAACATGTAAAAAGCATTTTTGGTTTTTGAAGGGAAGAAACAATTTAAAAATAAAAACAGAAATAGTGGGGAAAAGGAGGAATCTAGAAGGGCTGGTCTACACTTAAAAATTTGAGTGTTATAACTATATCAGTGAGGGGTGTGATTTTTTTTGCCGATACAGGCCTTGTCTAAACCTGCAGTATGTTGATACACATGGCAATGAAAGACTCTGGCAGTGGAGAGGGAGCAGGGAAAGGTTCAACAGCGGGGAGCTGTCAGAGTCTTTCCCTGCAGCAGGGAAAGGCTCCAGCAGTGGGACACTACACTGCTAAAAATAGCAGTGGGCATGTAGAAAGCCATGCAGGGAACACTATGACGTTGTGCTCAAGACACTCAGAGCTGTGAGCATCTGAGTTACCACTCTGCCTTAGCAAAAGTGAGAGCTTTACTGCTGCCAAGCTGTGTGTCAGTTCACTGACACACGAACCTGTCTGCCTTGCCAGCCAGCTCTTCAAGCTCTGCCAGTCAAAACCTTGCCTTGCAAGTAACAATCAGTGAACCCCATCTCCCAAAGTCCCCAGAGATGTCTCCCTGAAGTGTCCAGTCCCTCTCACTGGACACACTCCGAAATCATTAGAGCCACTGCATCCAAAGTGACAGAGCGATAACAGTGGCTCACAGCTCTGGGTGTCCTACGCGGGACATCACAAGCATATCCTAAGGTTATGGCCTGTTCATACTCTACTCCCCTAAGCAGTGCCTCACTGTATACCTGTGCTAGCTGAGCATGCAGGGTCTGTACTGAACACACCAATGTATATGTAGACATACCTATAATTACATCAGTAAAAGCCCTAGTACACACAGTTCTACACCAGTATAATTGCATCCACACTAGGGACTTTTTGTGGATGTAATTATACCAATACAGTTAAAGCAGCAACGTTTTCTATTATAGACCAGCCTGGAAGCTCAGGTTCTGAAAAGCAATACTGTGCCTTTCACGGCAAGGGGGTCTCAATTCCTAGTCAAACAGTGTATATGCTACAACTGACCATCTAGGCAGAAGTCCTCAAGGAGGCTGAACCTGTCCTCTTACCCCAAAAGGTGACACCTCCAGAACAGGACTGAAGCATATTGGTCAGTGTGAAGATGCTTACACACGGTTGTAGTCCAGTCTACCAATAAATACTGGAATTCAGTTTCCAGTGCTGTTAACTTGTTACCTTTCATAAGCATGAAATTAACTTCAAATAAAATAAACGTTTGGATCAGTCTTTTGGTCTGTGTTTTAGAAAGAAATGCAAGCATACTAAAAATAATTAGAAAGTGCCTAAAATAATTATGTGTCACACAGTAACAGAATACCACAATTCAGAGATCTAATACAACAGCTAAATTAGCTATAAATAAAATATTTCCCATACCTATTTGCATATCTCAGTGTATTTAGAGTGTTTTCACAGGATGCCATCCCTGGAGAGATAGTAGCAATCTGGAGAAAACAAACCATAAATCAACAAACATTTTGTAAAAAGAATAACATTGCAGAATTTAAGAAGTTTACCTTGCACTTCAGATTTCACATAGATTAGCACATTTTTAAGGCCAGAAGGGACTATAATGATAATTTAATCTGACCTCCTGCATAACACAGGCCAAAGATACTCACTCAGTAATTTCTGCATCAAGCCCATAATTTCTGGCTGAGCTACAGCACATCTTTTAAAACAATGCCCAATCTTGATTTGAAGACCTCAAAGTGATGGAGAATCTACCACAATCCCAAAGTAAATTATTCCAACATTTAGTTACCTTTGCTGCTAAAAATTTCTCTCTCTTTCTTCCTCCTACCCCTATTCTTCATGGTACAGGGCATGGGGAGAGGATATCACATTCTACATCCAGCCCTGATCACCAACCACTGCTGCCTTTGGGTGGTGAGGGTGGTAACAGGACCTGGTGATTGGCTGTGTTTGTTGCCCTGGCAAATAGCCATTTGGGGCCCCCCATTTCAGCTCCATCCTTAAACTAATATAATGGGTCTCCTTTGATCCCAGGGGCTAGATCACCAATTTTGGGATCTGGAAGAGATTTTTCCAATTTGACAAAACTGCTATATGGGTTTTCACTCCTATCCAGCATCCCTGTGGTCTGCTCTGATAACTACTGTTAAGGATACCAGATTTGCTAATAACAAATGAAACAACTTGAAGGTGCTGTATGTCACTAAGTATTTACTTAAGCACCCTTTTTGAACCACTAACATTTACTAGACCCGTGGTGCTCTTCTGATGTGGTACATAACCCCATACAATGCTTGGGGTCTGATCCAAAAGCCTACTGAAAGTCAGTCTGTCTTTCTGCAGCCTTTAATGAACTGTGGATCAGATGGGGGGGGGAGAGGGGGAAGGGAGGGAGGAATTACCACAAACTCCATGTTTTAGGAAATTGACCAAACAGCATTAAACACACACCATTATCATTTCCACTAAGTCCATCTCATTGACCTTACTTCGTTATTTCAGCACCAGAGCCATGCACTGCAACTTCAAACAACCTTTAAAAAAACACGAAGTAAAATCACCACAATTTTGAGCTGCATCCATTTAACTCCATGGTTCTCTTTCATTCAGAAGCCTTTCCTATGTTCAGACTCCCAGCATTTACTAACATAAAATCTGATTTTAGGTGAGAGTCTGAGAAATGGGTGGTTGTTACTCCCACTCCCTCTCATAATACCGAGCGTCCTAGCATTCTAATTTTGGTGCTTAAATTTCATCTCACTGAGCCTCTCTAGCCTACAGATAAAATTAAACCTATATATTACATGTATAGGTTCTCTCATACATTGGCTACTGCTGGGGGAATTCTGCACTACTGCACACGCAAAGAATTCATATACCCTGCAGATTTTTTTTCTCTACAGAAAAAAAATATTCTCTATATTCTACTGGAGAGGCACTGCAGATACGCATTTTGCCCACCAGGGTCTGCTGTAGCACGAGAACAGAGGGCAGCCGGCTCACTGGCCATAACCATCAGCAGCCGATGGGGAGGAGGAGAGGCTGCATTCCGCACAGGGCCCTGCCCGCAGGGCCAGGTGAGAAGGCACGGGATGGGGCGGGAGGGGGGGAAAACAGACAGCAGGACACAAGGGGCTGCTGGGCAATCACAGACTAGAGTTCAGAAGGGATGGGGGGGAGGACAGACTGTGATGGGAGCTGAATGGGAGTGGGGGTGAAGGGCCACGTGGGGACAGTAGGTGGCTGAGTGGGGTTGCAGGGATACATGGAGATGGGGATGGCTGAGTGGGGGTCCAGGGACACGTGGGGATGGCAGCACGTGCCTGACTGAATGGGAGGTCAGGGTCAGACAGAGTCTGCATGGGGGAGACTCTACTGGATCCTGGCATGAGTTACCAGATTTTTTTTCTTCCCTTACTTACTGTAACTGTGGTTCTTTGAGATGCGATGCACACTTGAGTCTGTGCATGCCCAGCGCACCGAAGCTGGAGAATTTTACTTAGCAGTATCTGTAGAGGGGGGCACTCATGCCTCATGGCCATAGTCTCTCCCCCCCCGGCTATATCACGTGTCATCACCCGGACCCCCCTCAGCTCCTTCACACTGAATGCCCAGAGACATACAGATGGGATGGAGGGAGGGTCGTGGAATGAACATCTGCATTACATCAAAGAACCACAGTTACAGTAAAGTAATCTTCGAGTAGATGCAGCCATGTATTTCACTTAGGTGACTCAAGCTGTACCCTCTGGGGTTGGGGCTCAGAGTCTATTTAAACAAGAACTGCAAGACTGTCTTCCCAATGTTTGCATCTGCTCTGGATGCCGCTGTAATGGCATAATGGTTTGTAAACGTATGTCTCAATGACCATGTGGCAGCCCCACAAATGTTCAATATTGAGACATCACTTAAGAAAGCTATGGGCTCGGACCTATATGTAGTGTACATTTCGTATGCAGTCTTGACACAGGAAGTTATCCACTTAGAGATCGTCTGTGAGGAGACTGCTTGTCCCTAAGGTCTGCATATGAGATAAAACAGAAGAGGCAAAGCCCAAAAGGGTTTAGTCCTGTGCGGGTAAAAGGCCAGACATCTGACATCTCACATTTGAAGGCACTGCTCCTCCAAGAATGAATGTGGTTTAGGAAAAAACAAAGGCAAACATACTGCTTGGCTTAAATGAAACAGAGACCACTTTAGACACAAATTTTGGGTGCAGCTGCAACATCACTTGGTCTTTGGAGAATTCCACATAAGAAGACTCTACCATCAAAAGACTGCAACTCACACACTCGCAGATGTTATTGCCATGAGGAAAGCAGTTTTTTGACATAAGAGAGGAAAGGGGCAGGATGCCAGAAACTCGAACAGAGGTCCCCTGAGAGCTGCTAAGGCCATGTTAAGGTCCCACAAGGGAAACAGTTCCCCTACCAGTGGATGGAGACGAAGAATTCCTTTCAAGGATCTCGCCACTATAGCTTTGGAAAACACCGATCTTACATGAATGGGTAGATGAAAGGCTGAGATCACCAATAGATGTCCCCCAATGAGCTAAGTGTAAGTCCCAACAACTGAAGATGCAGCAAACAGTCCAAGATGTCTTGGACACTAGCCAATGTCCGCTGAATTCTGCAGGCCAATGACCACACAGTCAATCAGCAGGAACGTTCTCGAACGCGTACAGTCTATTAGGGCCATAATTAATTCCATTTTCTGAGTAGGGCCCAATGTTGACTTTCCTGTGTTGAGGATGTGACCCAGTCAAGTAAGTGCACAGTGATGCATATGAGAGGAAGGATTGGGTACTGGTAAGGATAGGGATTGGTGGCCAGTATAAATGGGCCCCAATGTGGGTCAGGTGATGAAGAACAGGAGAAAGATCCTGACCACAATGCTGAGGCGTCTCAGGTTTCTGAAGATAAAGGTGAAGCTAGTCCTCAGGGAGCAAGTAACCGGTCTAACTCATCTGTCACCCAGAACGAGGCAGGGATCGGCGCCAATAATGGAAGCGGTACCACCAGTGCCAGAAACAGTGTTGACCCGAAGTCAGCAGTGGTACTGAAACAGCTGCCTAAGTGGAGGGTGGTGAAAGCCACCACTGTAACATCTGTGTTGCTGACTGCAATGGTGACAAGGAGTTTCCTGGTGCCGAGTTCCTTGCACCGAGTCTGGTACTGGCCCTGGTTCCACAGACTGTGGAAGGGGAACACTGGGCTGTGGTGCCAACAGACCCAAGGGTTCAGCAGCCTGTCCAGCCAATGGGCTATCAACGATGCAGCCCTGGCAAAGTCCTGGACCAAAGGAGAGGTTGGAACAAAAAGGCAAAGGATGTCTGTAGCCCCTGGTATGCCACTGATGTGGAAACAGTTACTGCCAGCAATCAGTACCAGACTCAACAGATGCCCTGAGGCCAGAACTGGAGTCAACAGTACACGGTCTCTAACCTCCCAATTTAGTACCCGGGAGCGGTTAAGAGGCACTTGGCACCATCCTGCGCACCAGCACTAACCCCAGGCTAGTCCACGCTCTTCCTAGAGGAGGCAGAGGAGACCCCATGAGACCTGGAGCGGTCTCAATAGATTTTATGCAACCTTTTCCTCAATGCATTGGACAGGGAACAGCTCCTCCATCTCTCTGGAGAGGTGCCTGCTCCAGAGTGTGAAGCAGAAGCACTCTCAGAACCTGAGGGTGACCTCTGATCTGCGTCTCGTAAAAAGTATATTAAAAAATTTAAATGGGGGGGGAGGGGGAGATAGCTCAGTGGTTTAAGCATTGGCCTGCTAAACCCAAGGACTGAACTCTCAACCTTGAGGGGGCCATTTAGGACAAAAGCTGTCTGGGGATTGGTCCTGCTTTGAGCAGGGGGTTGGACTAGATGACCTCCTGAGGTCCCTTCCTGATGTTCTATGATTCTATAAGGGCCTCTGTGTCAAAGCATGCTGCAGGGCCTGTTTGAGCAGGTGCTATTTTAGGCAAAGATCCCTAGCTGAATCCGTTTTGTGAACCATTTACAGATCAAACATCACTCCTTAACATGGGGCTCACTCAAGAACAGCAAGCACCATGTGTGGTGATCATTGTTAGGGATCGCTCCGCCACATGACGACAATGCTTAAACCCCAGAGAGGGCATCACAGGGGAATACTTAACTAAATACAACTAACGCTAATTTAACCAACATTAACGGTACTACTAACTACATACAACTAGAAAAAACACTAAAATAGGGAGAAGTTATGAGGTTAAGACCACACAGACCTCTGACTCCAGCCCCGAGCAGTAAAAAGGAACTAAAGAAGGTTGGGGCAGTGCCACCTCATATAGCCAGGGAGGGGCTATGGCCACAAGGCACGAGCACCGCCCCTCCACAGGTAGAGCAACGCAAAATTGTCCGGCTCTGGTACACACACACACACCTAAATGGAACACATGGCTACTCAAAGAACTGTTCTCCATTTCAGCACTCGTG